GGGTCCACGTGGTTGAAAGGGTTTGAATATTTCGTCCATCTACGGTAGTAAGGCACTTGTTACTAGAAGCGATGCACTTGTTCCTAGTAGCTTCTTGTTACTACTAGTAAGGCACTTGTTACTAGAAGCGATGCACTTGTTCCTAGTAGCTTCTTGTTACTACTAGTAAGGCACTTGTTACTAGAAGCGATGCACTTGTTCCTAGTAGCTTTATGTTACTACTAGTAAGGCACTTGTTACTAGAAGCGATGCACTTGTTCCTAGTAGCTTCTTGTTACTACTAGTAAGGCACTTGTTACTAGAAGCGATGCACTTGTTCCTAGTAGCTTGATGTTTCTGACAGAATTCGCAGTGTTGGGATGAAACTGTCCACCTCTGCGAGGTGATCACCTCGAGTCGGAATGGCTGGGAGCTGAATCAGGATTTCAATGAAGTTGCAACTGGGGTCGGTGCAAGTTGCGCTGCATTTCAAGCCGTTCATCCAATGGAAGTTTTGATCCTCGAAGCCACACTGATCTATTCGTTCTCAGCAATTTGGTTTGCTCGAAGCAGTTCTCTAAGGGATCAGCTGGGCGAGCCATGGCGAGTTCAATGTGGGCATGGATCTTCTTGGCACTCGGATGCAGGATTGAGGCAGGACCTGCCAGAATCTACGACTGTGACGCTGGCTTCTCCAACTGGCTGCAAGGTTGGTCCGATTCCAAGAAAGACTGGTGCTGCAAGAACCACCAGAGAGGCTGCGTGAAGTACCACTGTCACTCTGGAGGAGAAATGCACACGTGGTCTGCTGACAAGCGCTCCTGGTGCTGTGGAAATTTTCAAGTAGGCTGCCCGCGCACGACTTTGTCACCTTTGAAGTGTGATGCAGATTGCAACATCAATGGAGAGTCATCAACGTGCCAACAGCGCATCCGTTGGAACCAAAAGGATGTCTTTGGTAGCAAAGACAACGCCTGTGCCTTGGCCTACAGCAAAGTGCAGGTGGAGTGCGATGTGTGCCGGGCTTGCACAATTGAAACAGCGTGCCAAGGATACGACTGCCAGCGTGGCTACTCAAATTGGTATTTTGGATGGTCAGCTCGCAAGAAGTCTTGGTGCTGTGCCAACCAACAAAGGGCATGCCCTGGCACCTGGCACGGAAGCTTCCACCTGCACGTCGAAACCTACGACTGTGACGCTGCCTTCGTCTTCTGGCTGATCGCTTGGTCCGATCAAAAGAAAGACTGGTGCTGCAAGCACCAGCAGAGAGGCTGCGTGAAGTACCACTGTGGCTCTGGAGACTTGCAGGCATGGCCCACAGATAAGCTGCTTTGGTGCATGCGCGGAACGCTTACATGGACCCCACAAAGAGTGCAGGTCTTGTTGCACAAAGGTGCAAACGTTAGCACCAAGGATAGACTGGGCAACACGCCTCTCCATGCCGCGGCTCAATCCTCAGCTACAGAAGATGTCAAGCTATTGCTAGATAATGGTGCTTCGGTTTCATCCCGAAATGATGAGGGCAACACAGCTTTGCACCTGACAACATCCCGAGAAATCGCAGAGATTCTGCTCAAACATGGTGCAAAAATTGACGCGCGAAACAATCGCGGTCAAACTGCACTGTATCTTTGTTCTCGCAAGGGCTTTTCGCAGGTGGCTGAACTACTTCTCAAAAAAGGAGCTGCAGTTGATGCGCAAGACGATTTCTTTGGCAAAACGCCATTGGCTGAAGCTGCCATCAATAGCCACTTGAAGACTGAAAGAACGCTACTAAGGCACAATGCTGATGCTTTTCACATCACTTACGATGGGAGGATGATTTCCAGTATGGCAAAGCCAGGTGACGGCCAAGACTTGTTGAAGAACTACGCAACATTTGCCCAGCTCGGGCAAAAGATACAGGTGTGGTTGTGGTTGCCAATGGCCATTGTTGCCGGCTTTGGCTACTCTGCATTACACCATTGTTGTACAGCAAGCTCATCGTACTCGCTTCTCAGAGATGGTGCTGGGGATGATGCTGACTTCTTTCATGGAGCGAGACTCATTGTCGCAAAAAGTAAAAGCCACTTTGCCGGCTTTCGCCTCTTAGCACATATGGTGGGTGTTTCTAGCAAATTGGTCCTTGTATTTGCAGGCGGAATGTGGATAGTCCACTGGCCAATTTGGATGGCCCTCCATGCTTGCTTGTATGGCATACCTGCTGTGATGCATTTGGGCATTGCCAAGACTCTCAAGAGCCCTGCCTTAGTCCTGACAGTCCATACTCCTGCCCTGGAACTTGCTATATTGTTCATGTTATTGTGTATCATCCTGGTTTTAGCGAGACCCGGTGATTGCGACCAGGCATGGTACAACAGTATCATAGCTGAGTCTGTTTGCAAGGCGACTCCATGGGTTCCAGTGTTTTTGGAAGAGTCCATGATGGCGCTGCAGAACCCGGAATGGAAAGCTTTGCTGAGAAAACCTTACTATGTGTGGGAAGAAATTGACTACAGGTTCTCCTTTGACGACAAGGCTGAAAACAAAAAGCTCGTCCAGGTGCATGCAGTTGATGTTGTGATTGTCTTCCTGCTAGGCTTGTTTGCGGCTTGCCTTGTACATGTGGTGATCTTGGTCTTCACGAGCATCCTGGGTTCCTTCAGTGAAGGAAAATCCAATAACACAGATGATTTTGATGGAGAGGTGCGCGAATTGCTGGAAAAATCCAAGGACAATGCAGAACGTGTTCCCATGCTCCCAGGTGTTGAGATTGCATCCAAGTGGATCACCCTGGAATCCAGTTGGAATTGTGACAGTCTCACGGGTTTCATGTCCTCTACCAATGTCAAAGTGGGACTCCTTTTGATGGACATCGTGCTTGATATCAATACTCTCAAGGCGATGCTACAGTCTGGTCACTTCTTGTTTGCAGCATCCATGATGTTCATTCTGTCCAAGTCTTTCAGCCAACAGATACTAGCTGGGAACATGTGGCGTCTTTGGGATGCCAGGGCGAAGACAATCAGCCGCGGTATTCAGCACCGTATTCTGTTGGAGATCTTGGTGGAAGAGCAAAGCTTTGAAGCTTTCGCATCTTTGGCTCTTACAACCTACTCTTATTGGTATACAGTGGCAGATGCACTCACTGCAGTGAGTCAGTCGTTCAGCATTGTGTCGAGTGTGTACAGCTTGGGTGCCTTTCTCTACCAAAGTGTGGATTTGGGAATTGAGCTGGAAGATAAGCCATCTACCAAGGTCGTTGTTCGCAGAGCAACAACATCAACTGTCACCGCATCTGCAGCAGAGATGAAGTGTGGAGGCTGTTCCACCGGTTCTTGCACTATTGGCTAGTTTCTTCTGCGGAATGTTTCATCCTGTCTCAATGTTCCTCGGCGGCGCTGAGATCATTCTTTTGTGTTTCCTTTGCTTTTTTGCTCGGCCTTTTGTTGGAAGATCGTTCAAAAGTTGTTCCGTATGTTAGGACCTTGAGATTGGAACAGCAGCTTGAGATTGTGGAAGAGTTCACCACCCTGCGGCTTGGGAAGAACGGATCTTGACAGAGCTCCAGTTTCACCGCATCACTTCGTTGAAAACCGTTGGCATGTTGGATGCCGAGGCTGAAACACAGCCGGTTTGTAGCGTCCCCGAAAAATGATCCAGCTGTGCAGACATTCGCACATTTTTGTTCAGCAAGCATGGCAGCTGTTTGACAGCAGTATCATGTTGAAGCTAGCTGAGAAGCCATCTTTGGCAGCAGGGCTTGGGAGATTCACTGACTGACTTCACAAACAAAGCGACTCTTTCATTCTGGTAGGTCACTACGTTACATGCTGTATCCAGAGGCAAGATGTTCAAACAGTGTGCTTTGCAGGCAAATTTTCCAGATGAGACAGTTGCCTCTCGCTTGGTGCTCACATGATTTCAAGTGGCTTGTTGAAGGGTAAGAGACCATCCTGGGCTGCCACGGTGCATACTTTTTTCATTATCTATTGCTTCTAGATGGACCTTTGCAACGATCGCTGAAGATGAGTCATGTGTGTGTGTGTGAGTGCGCATGCATCTGACGGGTTACTTGCCAATTACTTTCACTGTTTCCTTTCTTTCCGCTGTGTGGGCTGGATCATCGACATAGATAGGCTTTTGCTGCCAGATCAGTGACCTAATGATGGATAAGAATGAAAACCATAGCGAGCTTGTCAACCATTCAGGACCAGGTTTCACGCAAATGTTTTCAGAAGATCAAGTGCTTCCCCATGGGATAGAGAATATCATAGAATATCAATTGCTTTGATCAAGTACTGTACCCTTCAATTATGAAATCCATCCAATAGGCTAGGCTGGAGTGCTTGTATTATTAGCATCACAAAGTGATGCGGCTGTTACCGTCTTCTGCATGGTTCCTCTGTAGAGACAAGCAGGCATGTTCTATACTGTTAGCAGTGACTGCGTAGAAGCGGTCCAAGAGACGGTGGGCCGAAACGCTTCCTGTAGCTTCTTGCTCCGAGTAGCGATGCGAGGAGCCCCTAGTAGCGTCCTTGCTCCTAGTAGCACGGCCAGGAGCCCCTAGTAGCGTCCTTGTTCCGAGTAGCGATGCGAGGAGCCCCTAGTAGCGTCCTTGCTCCTAGTTGTACGGCCAGGAGCCCCTATAGTAGCTTCTTGTTCCGTTCCGAGTAGGGATGCCAGCCCCTAGTAGCGTCCTTGCTCCTAGTTGTACGGCCAGGAGCCTAGTAGCTTCCTGTTCCTAGTAGCGATGCCTGGACCCCTAGTAGCGTCCTTGCCCCCAGTACGGCCAGGGGCCCCTAGTAGCTTCTTGTCCTAGTAGCAATGCCAGGGGCCCGTAGTAGCTTCTTGCTCCTAGTAGCAATGCCAGGAGCCCCTAGTAGCACCCTTGGTCCTAGTACGGCCAGCGCCCCCTAGTAGTTGTTCCTAGTAGCGATGCCGGGAGCCCCTAGCAGCGTCCTTGCTCCTAGTAGTACGGCCAGGAGCCCCTAGTAGCTGCTTGTTACTACGTAAGCAACGGGCTCCGCGAAAAGGCCATGTGCGGCTGTGCCCTCTTAGATCGCTTTGTGAAAGCTGTGGGGTAGAAGAAAGGGCACCAGCAAAGAAAGGCTATCTTCTGGGATCTATCTGGGTCTCCCCAAGCAGCTGTCAAGAAGACACGTTGAAAGACTACTCCGTATCTACAAAGGCTGGCTTTCGTCCCATCCCTTCTCAAATTGTTCCTTTGTGCATATCGAAAGTAAAAAACTAGACGACGGTTGGCCAGAGACAGGTGATTGTTCAGCACTGTCGAGTTATGAAGCAATAAAAATTGATTTGTCCAAGAGCCATGAGTTCTTTATACAATCTGTTATTGAGAACGAAGTTGCGAAGAAATTAGACTTAAAATATGAAGAGAAAAGATATATAGAAAGAGAGAAAGAGAGGGTGGACGTGAAGGAGTGACAGTGTGGATGTGCAGGTGCGATAAAGATGTGCAGATGTATGGAGGTGGAGAGAGGTAGATCTGTGGATGTGAGCACGCGAAGATGTAAATGTACAGAGGCGAGAGAAAAGATATGTAGAAAGAAAAGAAAGAAAGAAAGAAAGACACAGAGTGAGCGAGCGAACGATGTGAGTATGTCCTAAGAGCGCCGCAAGAGGAGAAGCAAGAAAGCTGAAAGCGTTCAACACTTCATGCCGTGCTCCGATCTTGATCTCAGTCGCAATGATACCAGCTCCACGAAAACTACAACCATTCAAGAATGAGTGCTCTCCTCTTTTCTTTCTCCCAGCCCTGCTCTTTATAGGGCTTCGCATTGATGCACCATGCCCGAAACACAACTAAAAACAACCAAAATCCACCTTTCGGGCATCCTTCTCCTGGTCTTCACTGACGTTTATTTTTACATGGATTCTCAAATAGACCACCAAACAGGGACGCTCCAGAGAGCACCGCGCCAGGAAAATCGAGAAAGCCTAAAACATTCAACACTTCATGCTGTGCTCCGATCTTGATCTACTCCACGTTGATACAAGCTCCACGAAAGCTACAGGCATTCAACAATAAGTGTTCCGCTATTTTTCCTTCCTGTCTTGCACAACCATATTGGTCTCTCGCTGGCTTTCGTCCTCTCCTTCAGGCAATCTTCCTCAACTTGATAAAGAGGATTTAGACTAGAGACTTTGTATGATGTTCTGCCATGCTCTTGTTCCTTTGCTGTGCCCTTTGGTAAGTAAATGCGAGTAGCACACGGTTGGAAAGGGTTGAGTTTGAATGTCTCGGCTGTTGACCTTGCAGGACGAAAATGGCGGCTTCGAGTTGGTCGGCAATGCTTTCCAGATTGACCCTGCGCCTTCAAACGTTGTGCACTTGACATGTTTTCATCCCAACCATATCATTGCCATTCCGTTTTCGTTTTGTTCTTGCATTTTTGTTTGCAAACCCTCCGTTGACAGGATCATTTGAAGAAGGTGCAGACCTCAAACGGAGTTTTTTCATTTTGTTTCGGAACAACTTTGAAATGGACAATGACAAAGATTAATAGCGACCATCTTTGCAACACGTGCTGTGAGTTCATCATTTGCGTTAATGTGGAATAGTGACTTAGTTGATGTTGAGTAGAAGACAAAGCAGACCCTGATAAAACCAGATTAGGTTATTTTATTGAAAGCAAAAGTGTATGGGTGGTATTGTCGTTCAGCTCTCAGGCGATCAAGAAGGAAGAAAAGCAATCCATTGCACCTTCCAAGATAGAAATATTTAGCCAACAGGAGGAGCCGTGGTGCCAGCAACTCGTTTTGCTAGTTGCAGTAGCTTCCATGACCTACCAGTTCGTGTTTAGTCAACTCTTTTTTAGTTTGAATGCCTTCTCCGCAGGATGGCAACTGGAGCAAAGAAGAGAAGATGAGTGCATCTCTTCGTGACACTTGTGAAGACAGTCCTTACGGCTACATTGTGCCACAAGTGCCATAGAGGCAGGTTTCTTGTTTTTCTTGTTGAGCGAACTGGCGATTTGCAGTCACCGTCAATAGTTTTTTTACTACCTCTTATGAGGGACTAATGTTGTGTCCACACTTTTCGTGAATGGACCTGGGTAGGCTCGCAACAAGGTCGAGATGGACCAGCCTAAGGCAAGACCAAAGTACAGACCCGGACATGTGAGGCTACGTAATTTGATTGTGTCTCATCTACTTTCCAATGTTCACTTCTCACGCTGCACTAAGCACTAGGAATTCAAGAACTCGCTTGGGCTTTCTTCTGTTGTTGAACAACTTGAAACCACTTCAAAACTCGCTTTTTGGACTAACTTGCCTGCAGCTCTACGAAAATGGCATTGAAAAGCTTTGGCTTCCTGTTCGAGTCAGACTCTCAGAGCCGCCCAAAATGAAACGGAGAGGTCGGTGTGGTAGACGTTTCGCGGGCAAAGTCGATATGTCGATGTGAACGCATTGAAAGAAACAATGAAATAACATGTTGTTTAAATGTAAAAAACATCTAAAGGTTTAAAGAAAGACAGTTTAAAAGATATGTTTAAAACATGTTGATGTGAACGACGACCTCATTGAGACGTTCAGTTCAGAAGTTCCGTGCAGTCTCTCTGTTTGCGATAGGTCGTCTCTCTGTCTCAGTACAGAGTCAGGGCTGTCGCAACTGGAGATATGCACACCTTGACCATTGCGCAGCACTACCACAGCTGAATTCAGGTGCCTACCTTGGAGATGCAGAGCAAAAAAACACAATGCAGATTAAGAGTTGCACAGCAAATTGCTTTTACACCTGCATACAATTAGGTCGGAGGCCATCGCTATTAGGTTGGAGGCCATCGCTACTGGAAGGAAAAATATGGACAAGGAAAAGGACTGATTCAAGTCATGCGAGTCACGCAATATTTCGCAAGCATGGTGCACTTTTGCTAGTTCAATTTGACCAACCTTGAAGCACTTCCCGAAATTCCGTCATTCGCTAGTCCCAGGTTTGCAACTGCCTGGCAACGAAAGCTGCAGTGGAACCTCTTCCAGCACAGCAAGCCTCCTTCAAAAACAGTTATTGTTAAAGACTTACTAATAGCATCCTTGCTCCTAGTAGCGTTACTAATTAGTAGCGATGCCCTTGCTCCTAGTAGCTTCTTGTTCCTAGTATTTGACTTTGCGTCAAAGAAGTCAATTTGCTTAGATCTGTTCACCTGAAGCTTTCTCTTCGAACTCAGCTGAGCTGACAAAAACCGGTGCACTCAGTTGTACCGCAAAGATTGTTTCACCGTGCCACTGGCCAAGGCCATTTTTTGGGAGCAAGAGAAACAAGCCTTGGTACTTTGCTTCTGCAACTTGTTGATTCAATGTTTGACAAAGATACATGCGTTTCACGCAAAGTAGCTCCTCCCAAGATGTCCAGC